GAACTCGCCTCGACTTACGAACCGGATCCGTGGCCATTTTCCGCCCGTTCCACGTGGTCCGTGGCCATTTTCTGCCCGTGCCACGTGGTCTGCGGCCGTTTTTCCGCCCCTGACGCGTGGTCCACGGACACCGGTACGGATTAACGGTAATTACATTGAACCTTATGGGAAAATTTGCCTCATGTTGCGACCAATTCGAGTTGCAACCAGAGTCACGGAACAGATTAAATTCATAACTTGAGGTTCCACTGTATTTGAATGTTAAACCGAGTCTTTATGAAGATTCTACATCTATGAGAAATACTAGAAAATATGTTAAATATTTTAATTATTCAAATATAGAAAAGTTTATTATTAGATATTTGTTAAATGGTACAGGTCATAAAATGAATTGGTATTGGGCGTATTGATAAGTGGGCCGAAATAAAATTTATGGATCAAGTAGTTTAAATGTAAAAAGATTACGAGAATCCAAGAAATGAAATGTAATCTTAGCATATTTAAAGTCATGAAGGGCAGATATTGCTTATTTACAAGAGACTCATCTAATGGAACAGGATAAATTTCTATTAATGAAAGCTTGGGTGGGACAGATTTGCTTCACAGATACTTCAATGAAAGTTAGAGGTTTGGCCCTTCTGGTTCAAAAAGGATTCCCAGTTGATGTACAACAAGTTATCGCTGATGTAAATGGGTGTTATTTAATTGTGTGTTCCAAAGTAGCAGAGACTGCAAAAGCTATGGCTAATGTTTATGGACCAAATTTAGATTCTCCTACTATGTTTTATGAATGTTTTCAACAATTGAATGAGTGTATTTATGATAAATTGATAATAGGAGATTTTAATGAAATGTTGGATCCTGAGCTTGATAGGAATATACCAGCACGGAAAAACAATCATTAGTGAGAGAAACAAGACTTATATGGAAGAATTAAATTTAGTAGACAGTTGGTGTTTGATGTACTGTATTTTTCCGACTATAAGACGATACTTTTTTCTAAAATCCTTACGCTAAAAATTGAAGGGCATCTTATTCAAGGAAGTCAGCCGAAAACTGCCCATACTTTGTCTCT